TTCTCCTTCTTCCATGACTTATCTTTAAAAAAGGTCGTTAAGATGAATGAAGTAGGAACATTTGACTTCCTAGGATTGTCACTTGGTGATCTGGATGGAAGTAACAAGTTTAAGTCTTGGTTTTTTTTATTGACAAGCTTATTTAAGTGATTTAGGGCTATCAAGAACTTATATTTGAAAGGCTTGCCACATCATCTTTGAACTCTGCATAAGAAAATGCATTTTTTATGTACCTTATAAATGTTTGATTGGACAAGATGGTGTCATTTTCTGCCAATAACACATGGCATGGGGAATATCTTGCAAACACATTCAGATATAAAACACATGTAAGTAGACCGCACACAAGAATACCACACACAAGAATATCAGGAGAAGTTGCTGGAATTTCTTTTTAGCCATGCAATCAGGAAAAACATATGTCGTATCAGTAATAGTAAAAAGTTAACTATAGCTTTATATATTTAATAAGTTGAGATGGTCAATGGACAACATAAAAAATCCAAATAAGATATATGGATATACATACCCTCTGTAAATTTAGTCAAAAGAGTAAGTGATTTTAATGCCTCATTAAGATTGGAGGACATTGAGGTTGCTTCCTGTTTTGATGTCACTGTCAATATATTCTTAAGACAAAAAAAACATAACCTGCAAAAGTAATACTAAGCAAATGAAATATAAGCACTAGCGCACAAAAAAAAATGACTATGTCAAATAGAAGAATCCTGATCTTGAAATGAGGAATGAAATGAAACACAATAAAATGAGGGTAACCATACAATATACTCAAATAATAAAAATAAATGCTTCTACTTTGACAAATTGACAGATTGAAGGAACGAAAAATGCAAAAAAATAGAGACACTATTTATAAATTGATAAATTGACCACACCGCTAACCTGTGTTCGAACTATACGATAAAGGGCAGCTGGGTTCCCAATTTTTTAGGTGTCATAGATTGCTCGTGGTTTTAGAGGTGAGGAATGTGGCCGCCGAAGCTCGAAGCAGCGAAGCTCGGTGACTCAAACTGCTGGCCAGAAAATGAACTTGTTGTTCAGTAGTTCTTGGCACTGACTCAATTTGCAATTCAAGCACCTAGTTTGCTCCCATAAAATGTCATTTTGTTCTTTATATATTTATCGGACTTGTTCATTATATTAATCCACTGATAAAACAAGTACTAGATGTTGAAATAAGCAGACACAACCATCAAGAAAAGGGTAATTGAAACCAAAACTAAAAAAAAGCCTATTACAAGTTATCTTCCCCACCCAGTATCTACATAAACTGAAAAGCAACCTCCCTAAACATTCAAATTAATGGAACTCAACAGTAACCTCTACTCTCACTCAGAATGAACAAATAGGCACTCACACTCACAGTATGTGACATTAATCCAAATCAAAACTCAAATTAGATAAAACTAGCTTCAGAAAACAAAAAAGTGTGTAGAAGATAATTCAAAGCACATGTCCAAATCCTCTAACTAAGTGATCCAATTAGCAAACTGAGATATAGTTCTATCTACTTTAGAATAAATAATACGAAATAAAAATATATAATAGATAGATATTTATACACAATATGATTTGCAAAGAGAACCAGATTCACCTCCCAAAATCTTCCCGCTACATCAGTCCAGCACAGCACGGGCGATGTCAAATTTATGCAAACACTTCACAATAAGCTGCACTCTAACAAACACCATAAAAGAATAATGAAAAGACATTATAGAATTAAGATGTTATGAAGAAGCTTACGTGAAAGTCAAAATATCAAGATCTCAATAAACCAGGAGGTCAATGATCTGCGTGGATGACATTAGATCTAGACGACTCCACCGACGCCACTGGACGATTCCACCGACACCGTCGGACCTGCTCTTCTCGCTCGAACGCCGGCCGCTTGCTCTGCTCGTTCGAACGCCGTCCGCTTGCTCTGCTCGTTCGAATGCCGTCCGCTTGCTCTGCTCGTTCGAACGCCGTCTGACGACAAAGGTGCGATGACTGCGATCTGCTCTGGTCACTGGAGCGCTGAAGGTCAGGACCTGCACTGGACGCCGGAGTCCCGTCAAAGCCGCGACAGTCGTACGCCGAGTCCAACTACTATGTCACTCACTGCCTGCTGCTAAGTCGGCTAGGTTTCAAACGAGGGGTTGTAAGCGGCGACAAATCCTTTAAACTTGTGTCGAGATCAATTATACTCATCTGATTTAACTTACGCTTTTTTTAATTGTTTTCTAAATCAGTTAACACCGATGTCAATTAAATTTTCGTAAATTCTGAAAAGTACCCCGTTTTCATATTAACATCGGTTCCAAATAACACCGTTGTAGAACATTTCAAAAAAAATCGAAATGTACCCCGTTTTTCTATTTGACATCGGCTATCAATACAATTGATGTGGAAATATTTATACAAATTATAAAATCGACCCCGTTTTATTATTCCACATGTGTTTTAGAATAACACATGTAGATAAGGTGATGTAAAAACCCTTTTTTGTACTAGTGCTAGAATATTTCTGTGGATATTTGGATTGTAAATGAATCATATGTATTTTTGTATCAGGTAGAAGTATACATTATATTATTGACATTAACTCTTTCAATATCTTGTATAAAAATTTGAGTAATAAATAAAAATGTTGGTCTTGATTACTTGTTGATCCTGTATTTCATTTAAATATGAATATGAATATTAATAAATTTGGGTGTTTCAAAATTTATACTATATTCAAGTTTTGTGATGCTAGTGTATCATTAATTTGTATGACATATTTGTGTTTAAAAACTTATTGTTACAAATGTATCATAATATTTTACAACATTTTAAAGTCATAATTTTATTGACACATTTTAGTGACTCATATCAAGTGTCACAATTTCCGACCTACTGTGACTTATGTCAAGTGTCACTGAAACTTTCAGTGACACTTATTTAAAGTCACTATAGGCTAATTTTCTAGTAGTGTTGGGCCTGTTTTCTTGGTACTCAGTCCCGACCAATGTTGTTCTCGCTAGCCCTTGTTCTGTAACCCTCTATTAGGTCTTCTCCCTGCTCCTCGGTACTTAGCACCTTTTGCTCTCTTGTTTGAGACTTGAGGTCTTCAGTTAGAGAGACAGTGAGGTTAGAGAGATAGAGAGAGACACTGCCCGTCTCTTCTGCATCGGCCCCTTTGTGTTTGATCTCTCTGTGCTATCTCCTTTTGACTGTGGTGTACGTTGAGATGGCTGGGCTGGCTTGAGTGTGACCGTCCCGTCCCTGGTGTTGCTTGGTGTGAGCTGTTTAAGCGTGGTCTGAGCGGAAGAGGTGAAAACATGACAAATTCCCTAAATAGAACCACTGATTACCATTTTACCTTTGACATCATTACGATCCAAGAACCCTCTAGAAAGTCCATCCGGCGGCACCAGAAAGTCCATAGTTGTGAGCTTACTATTGAATTGACCCTCCATAGGCGCTCTCCTCTGCTCATGCGAGAACCTCCACAGCCGCACTCCTCTTCTCACACCGGAATCTCTACAGTCACACGGTCGGACCTCTTTTCTTGTGCAATTTCCCAGGTAACCTCCTCCTCCTAATCTTTCTTCTCCCCCCTCCTTCCCTCATCTTTCTTCTCCTTCTCCCCCTCTTTCTTTTCCTTCTTCCTCCTCTCTTTTTGGTATTCTATTGTTTGTTTGTTCTTTTGTCTATTCTATTTTGTGAACTTCGAATTTTAGATGAAATATGGATCTAAAAGTATCAGAAAATAGCTAGGTTTAAAGAATGAACACGGAAACACTTGAATTTGATTTTTATTATTTTGTTAATTTTGATTAATTTCAAACCTGAGAATGACATAACTACTAGTTCTTAGAGAAAATGTCGTTTTTGGATTTGAATTATATTTATTCAACAAAGTGCCACTTTTATAATGTTAGAATGTCCAAATTATTGGTTATTCGAAAAAATTGTCATGTTTGTGGCAGTATATTTATTAGGATGACAATTTGAAAATGGCATGTCCATAAGAAAATGTAATTCTTATACATTTTTATGGCTTATATGATAATGACATAACTACTTGTTATTAGAAATGGCACGTTTTTTGACATGTTTTCCGAATGATGTCAGAACTTTCATCCTTAAATTGCCATTATTTTTTATCTAAAAAAAATTACAACTGAGAATGAATGTCATGCTTTTTTGCGAAACATCCATCATCATTTCATTATTATTCTTGAAATTCTCATTGGAGGTGTACAAGACATACGAAACTTGGGATTTTGCATTGGCCGATGCCGAACTTGTATGGCGGATGGCAAAGCAGTAGTTTTTTTGGACCTGGAGTGTTGGTGGCGGCGACCCCAAAACCCATCCGTGAAACACACGCATGGGAAATTTTTAAGTATATTTTTAAACCACCAAGATCAGTGAGGTAAATGGCAGGGAACAATTACCAAAATAATATTAATAAGAAAACGAGGGAGATTTTTAAATATTACTTCACTAAAGTTTTTTTTGTCACATTAGCTCTTTTTAGTCCGATTTTTGTCCCATAAAACATACCAAACCTATTTTTGCAATTTTTATGATATGTTGTGATTAATCTTTTTTATATGATTTTATCTTTTTATTGATTTAAATATTTGAAAATAATAACTAATCTAATATGGAGTGCTAGAATTTAATCTTATTAAAAAATAATAATCACGAACTCATTAAAAATAAGACTAACAAAACAACTTCATGCTTTAACTTTTTAGAAATTGCTCTAAATACGATTAAAACTTTAACACAATGCACCCTAGGATCACATGTATTTTAATCCCGAAATATGTCTTATTTGATCATATTCAGAATATAAAATTCCCCTAGTAGGAGTGAATAATTCTTATTTTAGGAAGTAAACAATGATAGTCATATATATTGATAAGATACACATGCATGGCATGCATGCGTGAGCATGGCATACGTTTTATACGTATGACTTTAATTTATTCCCATCATATTTAATTTTTTTTGAATAAAATACAATTAACTATTATTTATCAAATCGTGATGAAGTACATGAACAATACAATCAGGGGGAACGCCAAGCCAAAATCGGCGTTCAGACAAAGAACACGCCACCCTAGCTAAAGTATGAGCGGCTCTGTTCGCAGAACGCCTAGTATAAGAGAAGGAAATGCTCCCGAAATGCATTCCTAAAGCCTTAGGGTCTGTTTGCAACAGCTTCTGCTTTTAAAAAAGTGCTTTTTTTAATGAAATGGAGAGAAGTGATTAAATAAAAGTTGATAGTGTTTGAGAAAAAAGTGATTTTGAAAAGTAAAAGTGGGTAGTGTTTGGTAAAATAAGTGCTTTTTGTGTAATAGAAAAGGTAAAAGCACTTTTGACGCGGAAGCCGAGAAAAATAAAAGTTGTAGTGTTTGGGAAAATAAGTGCTTTTTTAAAGCCAAAAGCTGAGAAGTGCTTTTTTAGAAGCAGTTGCAAACCAACCTTTAATATCATCAGCTAAAAGACCCGTATATGAGACGCTGGATCCCTTGTGAATCTCCGTAATGGCCTGTAAAGAGTCTGACTCCACCTCAAGCTTCACCCACCGATAGTCCTTCAAGCAGTTAAGAGCTTCCCTGATGGCTAATAATTCCGCCTCAAGTGGTGAGCAGCATCTCACCCATGGACAAGCTCCACCTCCCTGAAACTCCCCTCTTTCATCCCTGACAACCCATCCAAAACCACACCCTGCAGCAGCCACAGAAGCATCCACATTAACCTTCACTTTGCCAGGCAATGGAGGACACCAAACAACATCCCGGACAGGAAGGGATGACTGCAGCCCGCCCCCCTTCTTCTGCGCTTCCGACCAGCCTTCAACAAAAGACCGGGCTCGATGGACAATCTGTTGCGGAGTCCCATTACACCCCTGCCAAACCCTGCAATTACGTTCACACCATATACCCCAACACCCCCAAACCACCGACAGCAAGCTCTCTATACTTCTGGCCTGAAAATTCACTTCCACCCATTCCATGAAAGAAGAAGTTGAAATAGCAACTGTCTGCCATCCTAAAATACGCCCGACCTCTACCGCTACAGGGCACCTGCCAAAAAGATGCAACAAAGATTCTTCTCCCTCTCCGCAAATTCCACAAACCAGTGGGCAGTTAACCATACGGCTGCGAAGTGCACACCTAGTTGGAAGACAACCCGAACAAATTTGCCAGAAAAAAGATTTGATTTTTGGTGGTAATTTCCACTTCCACATTTGAGTCCAACCTGTCCAGCATCCCGTTGTTGATTCGCCCACCAATTTCCTGTAGCAGCTCCGGACTGAAAACTGACCATCTCTTTCGCCACTCCACATTAATCTGTCAGGTACACTTCGGTAGCTGAGGCTGATTTGCTCAATAAGACTCTTGTCCCTGAAATTAAAAAGATCAAATAAAATATCATTGTCCCACCCAGACCCATTTTCCTTCATCAACCCCTCAACCCGTGACTTTTCCAGTCCCAAAATTTGTGGGGAGGAAATATAAGGGGCTTCACTATTTGGGAGCCACGGCTCTTCCCAGATATTGATAGACTTCCCGTCGCCAACTCTCCAACGATATCCCGCTTTAATCACCCCTTGAGTCTCAAACAGACTCCTCCAAATAAAAGAAGGGTTTCCACCTAGCTTGGCAGTTAAAAAATTTCCTTTCGGATAATAACGGGCTCTAAACACCCGTCCGACTAAAGTGTTCGGTTCGGTCACCAACCGCCACGCCTGTTTAGCCAACATGGATAAATTAAATTCTCGGAGCCGTCTAAAGCCCAAACCCCCATCATATTTAATTAATTGTAATATAATGTAAATATTATCTCCTTAGCTATTGTTGTGCATATAGTTGGGATATGATTAGCTTCCCGTATTTCCAGCCTATACGGCACTGCACCTAGACTATTAGCTGGATAGCTTTTGTATCGGATAGGAATTTACTTAGCGTATAGCGTGCAACTGCATATGATGTATTTGACTATTTATATCTTGGAAATAATACGAAACAGAGGACGGGTGAATTTTCCCAGACTTTAACTTGGTATCAGACGTTTTTTTTCTTCTCCATCTTCTTTCATGGCTTCTTCCAAATCCCCTTTTCACCCGGCTTTGGCCATATCCAACATCAAAAACTTTATCCCCATCACACTCGATCTCGAAAATTGCGATTATGCTTCTTGGGCAGAATTGTTTAAAATCACGGCCCGAGCTTACCAGGTGCTTGACCACATCGTCCCTTCCACCGACGATGCCTCATCCGCCACCGTCTCCCCCGACTCTTCTCTCACACTTGAACAGCGTCAAGCTCGTGACGCAGCCAAGGCCGAGGCCGATGCTTTATGGTCTCGTCTCGATGCTGTGGTTTTGCAATGGATCTACGGGACCATTTCCCATGACCTTTTGCACACCATCATCGAGGTCGATTCCACCGCCCAAGACGCATGGGATTCTCTCACCGATTTGTTCCAAGATAATAAGCACTCGCGTGCTGTTTATTTGGAAAACGAATTTTCCAACACGAAGCTTGATCAATTTCCGGACGTCGCTGCATTTTGTCGAGCGCTGAAAGGTCTTTCCACCAAGCTTAAGAACGTCGGTGCCAAGGTCGACAATGATCGCCTTATTCTGCGCATGGTCAACGGGCTGTCCTCCATTCCGGGCTTTGATACAGTGGCCTCGTTGATTCAGCAGAAGGAGCCTCTTCCTCCATTTTCTAAGGCCCGCTCGATGGTAATACTTGAGGAGTCCCGCCGCAATCAATCAAACTCCTCCGCCACCGCACTTATTCATACTGGCAATGTCACACCGACACCACCCTCCTCATCTCGTGGAGGCCGTGGAGGATCACATCGCGGTGGGCGAGGCCGCTCTTCTCAACGCGGCGGTGGGCGCGGCCGGCAGCCGGCTCGTGTGGAACCCACTCCATCTCCCGGACAGTGGCCCCCACCCCCTCCTTGGGCCTACTGGTTACCGCAATCGGCTTGGGGTGCCCCTCCTTGCCCGTACCCAGGACTGCCTTGGAACGGTCAGCCCGTTCCTCGTCCCTCTGGAGCTGGTATATTGGGACCTCGTCCGCAGCAGGTCCACATGGCAGAAACTACACCAACTGAATTGGCATCATCTATGCATACGATGAACTTATCTCCCCCTGGTGATACATGGTATATGGATACTGGGGCCACATCGAATATGACGGCCCATCCAGGTTCTCTCCTCTCTTTTTCTAATTTAAGCACTAAGAGCAAAATCCAAGTTGGTAATGGCAATACCATGCCGGTTTCCGGTTTCGGGCATACCGCTCTTCCACCCCCCAACCCCCCTCTCACCCTTAAAAATGTCTTAGTTGCCCCCTCCCTCATTAAGAATTTAATTTCGGTTCGTCGTTTTACTACTGATAATTCTGTATCTATTGAGTTTGACCCGTTTGGTTTTTCTGTGAAGGACTTTCAGACGGGCATTCCACTCATGCGGTCTAACAGTACTGGCGACTTGTATCTGCTTCACTCTATTTCTCCGCACTCACTGCAGCAGTCCGCGTTCGTTACAGTCCCGGCCCAAGTCTGGCATGACCGACTCGGCCACCCCGGGGCCCCTGTTTCTAAATTTCTTAGTGCTAATAAAATGTTACCATGTAACAAATTTCTTTCCCATTTATGTAATTCCTGTCAAATAGGCAAACACATTAAATTGCCCTTTTCTTCTTCTGTTTCGTTTACCTTAAACCCTTTGAAATAATTCATAGTGATATTTGGACTTCACCCATTACTAGTATGTTTGGTCATAAATACTATGTTATTTTCATTGATGATTTTACCAAATTTATCTGGACATTTCCCTTACAATACAAATCCCAAACTTTCTCTATCTTTTCCCGTTTTCATTCTCTAATTCGCACTCAATTTGAATGTAACATTAAAATGCTTCAATGCGATAATGGAAAAGAGTTTGATAATGCTTCCTTTCGTCAATTTGGTGAAATCCATGGCATGCATTTTCGTTTTTCATGCCCTTATATACCTCCCCCCAAAATGGTAAGGCTGAACGCTCTATTCGTACAATTAACAATATTGCACGTACGTTACTATTGCATGCCTCCATCCCGCCCAAATTCTGGCCTCACGCCGTCAATATGGCCACCTACTTACATAACATTCTTCCATGTGCGTCAATTTCATTTCTTACCCCAACCGACCTTCTATATCATAAACATCCTACATACTCTCACTTACGAGTATTTGGTTGTTTATGTTATCCTCATTTACCCCCGACCACTCTCCATAAACTCCAAGCCCGTAGTACACCGTGCGTTTTTATGGGTTTTCCCTCTAATCACAAAGGCTACATTTGTCTTGATTTGTCAAACAACAAATTTATCATCTCACGACATGTCACATTTGATGAGGAAATTTTTCCTTTTAAAACCCATGCACCATGTACGTCCAAAAAGCCTCTGGACATGTCACATGTCTATTACCGCCTTTATCCCCTCATGAACATTCCCGACTCTCAACACACTGACAATATACATATCTCCCAGCCAATTAGCTCTCCTCCCAGTACTCCGTCCCAGCACACCACTCCCTCAACACCCTCAACTCATGCCCAAACTCCACCTGGCCATGACTCCCAAATGACCGTCTCTCTCCCCACTAAAACTATGCCGCCTGCCCTCCCACGTATGCACCCCATGACCACACGCAGTAGGGCCGAGATTTTCAAACCCAATACGTTTTATAACCTCAGCCTTTCTTCCACCCCGTCCCCCCTTCCAAAATCCCCTCTACAAGCCCTTCACGACCCGAATTGGAAATTGGCCATGGATGATGAATTTAGTGCTTTAATTAAGAATAAGACGTGGGAGTTGGTTCCCCGTCCCCCTAACACTAATATCATTCGTTGCATGTGGCTCTATAAGCATAAGTACAGGTCGGATGGGTCACTTGAACGTCACAAAGCTCGGCTCGTGGTTAATGGGAACTCCCAACAAGTTGGCATTGATTGTGATGAAACTTTTAGCCCGGTTGTTAAACCGGCTACAATTCGTACAGTCCTTACCATAGCTCTTTCTCACAATTGGCCCCTACACCAACTTGACGTCAAGAATGCTTTCCTTCACGGCCATCTTGAGGAAACCGTGTACATGCATCAACCTTCGGGTTACCGTGACCATTCTCGTCCATCACATGTTTGCCGTTTACTCAAGTCTCTATACGGCCTTAAGCAAGCCCCCCGGGCTTGGTATCAACGGTTTGCCTCTTACATGACCACCATGGGTTTTTCTCACAGTACATGCGACCATTCTTTATTCATAACCAAAGAAGGCAGTAACACGGCTTTTCTACTCCTGTACGTAGACGACATCATCATCACGGCTTCCTCTCCAAGTTTTCTCCAGCAAGTTATTGCCTCTCTTACCTCAGAATTTGCCATGACCGACCTAGGGCCTCTCACGTATTTTTTGGGCATCTCTGTCACACGGCATAGCGGCGGTTTGTTTCTCTCTCAATCCAAATATGCCTTAGATATTTTACAACGGGCTGGGATGCTCACATGCAATCCTTCTACTACACCGGTCGACACCCACTCCAAGTTGAGTGCTTCGGCTGGTCCACCGGTGGAGGATCCTACTTTGTACCGTAGCCTTGCGGGGGCGCTTCAATATCTCACATTTACTCGGCCCGACATCTCCTACGCGGTGCAACAACTGTGTCTCTTTATGCATGACCCACGTGCTCCACACCTCCATGCTTTGAAACGTGTTCTACGTTACATTCAAGGCACTCAACACCTCGGCCTTCATCTACGCCCGTCTCCAGTTACCGACCTTGTTGCCTATACCGATGCCGATTGGGGTGGGTGCCCCGACACTCGCCGCTCCACATCCGGTTATTGTGTGTTCCTAGGTGACAACTTACTTTCATGGTCCTCTAAACGCCAACCTACTCTGTCTCGTTCAAGTGCTGAAGCTGAATACCGAGGTGTTGCTAATGCGGTCGCCGAACTCTGTTGGTTACGTAATCTATTGCTTGAACTTCACCACCCTCATAATAAAGCTTCCGTTGTATATTGTGACAACATTAGCACAGTCTACCTCTCCGGCAATCCCGTTCAGCATCAACGAACCAAACATATTGAAATGGACATCCATTTTGTTCGCAAAAAGGTCGCACGCGGTCAAATTAAGGTTATTCATGTTCCGTCCCGACATCAGTACGCTGACATTTTTACTAAAGGATTACCCCGGATTTTATTTGAAGAGTTCTGGTCCAGTCTTAGCATTCGGCTTCCTCCAGCTGCAACTGCGGGGGCGTGATAAGATACACATGCATGGCATGCATGCGTGAGCATGGCATACGTTTTATACATATGACTTTAATTTATTCCCATCATATTTAATTAATTGTAATATAATGTAAATATTATCTCCTTAGCTATTGTTGTGCATATAGTTGGGATATGATTAGCTTCCCGTATTTCCAGCCTATACGGCACTGCACCTAGACTATTAGCTGGATAGCTTTTGTATCGGATAGGAATTTACTTAGCGTATAGCGTGCAACTGCATATGATGTATTTGACTATTTATATCTTGGAAATAATACGAAACAGAGGACGGGTGAATTTTCCCAGACTTTAACTTATATGAACACTTTATTTATATTTTAATCCTATATAAGTTTCTCTTAACTTTTATTATGATTCGAGGACTACTTTTCAAATTTCGAACGTTGAATCGAAACACTCACTCAATTGTCATGAGTACACTACTTACAAATTTATGAATTTTCTTAATGAGACGTGACTGTATGATATATCATCATTTAATTTCCCCAACCAATTTCGAAATAATGTTTGACCATCATTAATGTTTGTTGGTAGGTCAAGGTTACAACCTCCAAAAAGTTGCATGTACTTCTCACTCACATCTCACATTCTATATACGAAGTGATATGACTCCCAAATTAAACACCAATATCACAAAGAAAAATATAGTTCAAAGAAGATTGAAGAAATATGGTCACAAAAATATGGGTCGTCCTTGCGGCATTGTCATTGGTTCTTTCTGCTGCGAATTCATCATCCTTAGAAAAATATCCAGTCGCCCACTTTCTCAACCGTATAGATAATGAAACGGTTTCTATTGACTGTAGCGAAGGTGGATCAACTAAACTAGAACCAGTCCAGAAATTTTCATTTGAAGCCAAAGATAAAGACAACGACGATGCTTACATTTGTTATTGTGAGTATGGGGAGAGGCCATACTCTCTTGAAGTCAAGGGATATCAGCAAGCAAGAGACAAAGGTTATGACATCTATTGGATGTTCGTTCGACTTGGAATTGCTGCTAGTTATGATAACAAATACTATACTTTGGTAGAAAGGTGGAAATCTGATTAGTTGATGTTATCTTCGTTCAATTCGCATTTGTGGGTTTTTATTCGTTCGTCTATATATGTAATCCTTAATTAGCTTCTCTGATGAAGATTTTAATGATCACAATGTCCCTTCAAAAAGGCCCCTTTCACTTGTGTTATGAATAGTTCAGTTACGATCATTTTAACATGAACATTAACATTCTACCTTTAATATGATGCTTTATATTTTATCGGTGTGAAAAACACTTCAACATTTTTCTCTTTCTTAAAATCGATGGATTGGAATATAAAAAATAAATCATATATTAGAAGACGGTTAGTGAATTAATTCACACTCAAAGCTTCCCAAAAAATGCATTGGCGTTATATTTTGAAATAAGGACATACGGGTCGAGTACATATTTCTAAACCCTTATTAACACCCAAATGAGTCGGTAACCACGTCCCCTTTTTTATCATTGTTCCATGCCCAATTAACTTGCTTCCCTCAAAATGGATCGTCACGCCTGGAAGAGGAAGCGTTTGAGCGAGCTACTAAATGGCTGGAGTCTCTACACTTGCCTAATGGGGTAGTGGAGTCTTCGTTTTCTAGCCGAAATATGGGTCATACTTATGGGCTCCAATTTATTGTTATTCCGGCCCAAGTCAATCAGGCTGCGAGCTTAGTGGCTACTTTGGGCCTTAACGGATGCTTCAAGAGAAATTCTATTTAAAGTTACCACTTATTTTGTGTAATTCCAATTATATCCTTAATAGAATAATCTGCAGCCCATAAACAGATCTTCTTCTTCGAAGAGGCGCACCATATGCGGGTGGTTCAAAGACTTTCCGGAGCTTCATGAAGGTGACGAGGTTAGGAAAAATAGAAAAGGCCAGCATGAGTTCAATAAGCGTAGAATGAAACGTAAGCACAAGTATGTTGCTCCTGATGATAATAATAATAAGAAGAAGAAGCCATTGACAGAGGCTCAAAGGGATTTTGGCTAATCAGAGGAAACACATGGCTCGGCAGCAAGTCGACCGATCTGCTAAAATTGTGAAGACGAAAAGGCCATCCTCAGATACAAACACGGCCCAGATTACAGATACTTACACAACTCCATCTCTGATTTCTTCGCTGAGTTTCTGAATAAAAATTTGGAATCATTGAATCAAAATTGTTGCTTATAACAATTAAAAACGAATAAATAAAAACTTTTAATCTAATGCTTTTCATAGAGATAAGGAAAAACAGGAAACATATTTTCTTAAAAAAATTAAAACGTAGCTTTAAGACCGACAAGGTGTTCGTGAATAAAAATCCTCGCTGGATATCATCAAGGAAGAATGGGAGAGAAATTAGTACCAGAAATTTTGCGTTTTAGGATAGATTGGTATGAAACATAAACATGCACTTAACGAATAAATTCATACGAAAACCTACCGATCGGGAGATTTCGCTGCTGAACCGATGGAAGATCTTCGTTACTTTAGGTCTTTCGGTTGTAGATCGACTAACGTGATTCAATAGTAGATGAGATATGTTTATCTAATTAGCCATGAAGAGGCTGGCGGGGTATCCATGGAAGCGGGAATAAAATTGTTGGGAATAACATGATCGTGCTAATATGAGACAAAAACACTTCCATAACTTTCAAGAATAGAAAGAAGAGACATACAAGCTCTAACTAAAAACTCTCAAAACAATCTCACATATCTCTCAAGGATATTCACAACTCTTCTTGGTTGTGCTATGATGATCTATACTAATTTACTTGATGATAGAAAGACTCTCCAAACTCTCTATTTATAGCACCAAAACTAGGTACTAGGAAGGTGGAAGGTGTGTTGAAGCTAGGAGGAAGCTTCAATGGAGGTGTGAGGAAGGTGGTTCCTTGGTGTGAAGAAACTTCCCTTGTCATTCTTGCATATGGGGGGAAGCTAGGAATTGGATTCTTCAAAAAAATTTGCCGGTGTGGGATTGAGGAAGGTGGCAATAGTAAAAGAATTGATATCACAGAGGGAGTGGCAGGTCGGTATATTTATACGTTGGGTTATTTGTCGGGCCATAGAGTGGGTCAAAATGGACTGAACAAAATTATGCACAATCCCAGAGAATACTAGTTCCTATATCACGATCCCATGGTGAGCACCACGTTCCATTATGCATGAACAGTACACACGTGAATATAAATTATTTTTTTAAAATTACGTAGTTTTGCACAATTTTTTTTAAAATCGCATGAACAGTACACACGTGAACATTAATTATTTTTTTATTTTTGTCTCAATAGCATGAATGATGTAACTCGCGTGTAAAGATATGTACTCACGTTATTAATTAATGTAACTCAAGTTCAGTCGAAATGTAACTTGTCAAATATATAGTATATGAAATACAACATTGATTTCAATGTAAACAACGAAAAAAAAGTCTAATGCACAATCACTTTACGTAAACCGTGAATATGTTTTGTTTTTTTGTGTCGTGACCTTCAAAAGGATTAAAAAAACATTTTTTGTTTCAATAGCAAGAGTTGATTTTTATGTAATTCATGTTATTACAAATGTAACTCGTGTTGATGGCAAATGAAACTTAGGTGTATATAAAATGTAACTTGTTGATCTAGTCAAGCCCAAATTGGCGCATAAATGTAACTCGTGTCTCAGAAGATGTAACTCACTTATAAAAAGATGTAATTCACGCATAATTAGATGTAATTGGCGCATAAAAACATGCAACTCACGCATAAGAAGTTGTAACATTATGTAGTATCAATTATAACTTTAGGATTATATAAATGTAACTCACACGTATGAAAATGTAATCGCACGCATGAAAATGTAATCACCTATTCTATCATATGTAAATAGAAATAAACAAACTTAATATCTTAAAAAACACTACAAACGTAGTATATTATAAAAAGAAGTAAGTTACAAATAAAAGAAGTGAAGAACCCTGCAAACTTGCATTTACCGATGCTTACAAGTCTAGTTTTCAATTGACATCCAGTGAAAATGTTGACTCAATGGGTGTCATGGCCTCCTCAGCAGACTGTTCCGAAGAATTAGGCATGGTGCTCCAATACTTTCATGGTTTCATTTAAAATATCGATAAAAACATCAAATGAAACATACAATGTGTGGAAAATAATCGTATACAGGTAGAGACAAAAAATACATGAGGTATATATCAGTCAGCTCCCAAAAATGTAAATACACCCGCATCGTTACCAAAGGAATACAAACTGCCAAAAGATGAATTGCCAAATATGTCCTAAACCATTTTTAAAATTTATTGACAAGTCCACCAGTAGAATAATAAGATTAAAGGGGCACTTCTACAACACATCTTTTAAAAAGTCACTAAATTCCTTTATTTTTGTTTTTATCCCATAGATAAGTCTATCATTAGATCTATAAGAGTAAAGGTACAACTTTTACTATCCTTAGACCTGTAAGAATAAAGGTTCAACTTTTACTGAATAGCTAGAATACATTTTGATCAACTCCATTGAAAAACAATAAGGCGCGCTCCTTTATTCTTTTTCAATGGAATAAACACATTTCAACTCATAACAGAACATTCTTTGTTCCATGTTACCTGTGTAAGTCAGCAGGACTAATCAGAAATATGAATCACTGATTTATCATGACCAAAGGAAGAATTTATTTATAACTTACACTTCACGTATGTCAAGAAATTTGTTTCCAGTTTCCCTCATGTGAAGTTATAATAACAACACTAAATTCGTGATTCAGAGATACTACCTCCAATACGAACTTCCAAATATTCCAATTACAAAATACAGATGTCAAAAGTAGCTTCATTTTCTCTTTAATCTATGAGTCTATGACTGAGCTAGTTTCACTTTCACTGGATACAACTTAAATAGAACATTTTAATTTTCACTCACATTGCTTTAGGCAGTACTCTTCTTGCTACAGAAAATTCATAACTGGACGAGGAAGGAAAGGAAGATCTGTAAAATAAAGTAGATTAGGATTGAAAACTACCTAAGGCTAAAAATGACATAGAGAGAGTGGAATCTCATGCAAACTGCGTGGTGGTGGGGGGTAACCGGTGCTTAGAGAACTGCCTGGGATGCTCTACAAGAAATAGGACATACCTGAGCTGAAACGACTGGAGTCAGCTTGGTTCGATCAGAGCGCCGTTGAATCGTTGATACCCGTTGTGCCATTCAGAACTGAAAAGAGGGGAGGGGAGGTCCGGTGTGCAAATTCCGGGGTCATCAGACAGACGGGAGCTAAACGGGTGTGCGGAATTACAATGACCTAGGCAAAACGGGAGTACCAAAAGTAAAACATAATGTAGGGGCGGGCAAAAATACCGAACCGGCATGGTACCGAACCGAACCGATATGGTACCGGACCGAAAAATGGGGTTTGAAACGGATCTCAATTTTTTTGTCCCGAACCGTACCGATTCTAAACAATGCCATGACCGGTTCTCATAAAATGAGAACCGGTACCGGACCGAACCGGACCGAAGTATGATTCAATGATTTAAATTTACATTTATACCCTTACTTAGACTATTCTCTTTACACTTTCACCGTCTTTGCTAATTCATAGGAAGCCTGGAATCGGACCGATGTATGGTTTAATTATTTATATTTGTACTACTATAATTTATCTGAAATTTATTAATTATGTAAAATACTACATTCATCCCAAATTGATTTGCAAAATTAACTTTTCTTGGTCAAACAGTTTCATTTTATTCACTTAACTAGAATGTCACTTTTTAATTATATTTAATTTTGAGCTTGCAACCTTGAAGAGATTTCAATGTAGTTTCTGAATATGTTTATTTTAATTATTGAATTTGCATGTCAATTTAGGATAAAATGAGTATGAAAATTGATAAATTGTGTCGATTTTTGGAGGATGAATAAACTTTAATTTCCTCTTAAGCACTTGAAAAAAGTGGCATTGTTTGGTATTGGTATGGCATGGTACCGTCCCGTTTCAAAATGAAACCGTACCGAATGGGTTTAGGTCTAAGACCGAACCGAACCGAACCGTTTGAATAGTAATGGTACGGGTACGGGTTCTGCCAAATATTGGACCGGACCGGACCGCGCCCACCCCTAACATAATGTACCATCCAGTAAAGCAAATGATTACACCAACACAATTTTCAGCCCTAAAATGCCCTAACCCTCATTGAGGATTATAAGCTTTTAAGATTTAGTCCGATGTTCTAAACATATAATTGTTTTTAATGTTGATTTTATCTTGAACTAGTCTAAACATATATATTGATGAAGTTTATTTTATCTTTTGGAATTTGACATTCCTTTTAATGTTTTTTTCGCAGTTTCTTTTGCAGTTTTTCTCTAAAATTGAACTAGTCTCCTCATTTAACGATCAAACGTGATGTACTTCAATTTGTTGACTTGCTATTCTTTTGTGTATTTTAAATAAAAAAAAGTGGATATATCCCCTATTCTTCTAAAGCGTGGAAGACAGTTAATCGTCGTGCTTATTCCGTTGCTACAGGTCGAGCGTTGCTTTCCCTCAGTTAACGCCCGTCTGATTTCCCTTAGCTGCTGCTCACCAACTGAAAATATCTCCCACTTGGTTTCGCGTGATGTAAATCCCTCTGGCGCCCCTGCTCTCTGGACCGCACAGATATTCTATCTGGTTTTACTCCTACGCTGTTATTTGATCTCGCCTCCTTCAGTTTGCCCGGTAAGTCTCCTTCCATTAAATCCATTAAAACAGTGCTCGACGGAAGCCTCGGTTTAGCGCAAAGTAAATTAATGTTTACTCTCGTTCGCTACTGCTCACTTCTTTGCCGTTGAATAGGCGCCTAGGACTCTGCCATGCGGCAGATAATCCTTTTCCGACGGCAAAGGCTTAGGAGTTTGGATGGCGTATGAGCTGCTGCAATGGATATCCAGACTTAGGGTTGATTCTGATTTCTGCGCCAGTTTCACTCTGTTCTCCATCTGTTCTACTACGCATTAATTTGAATACAACTTCTGGTATTTTCACCCCCTTCTTCCTATACCATATTTCTTCAGTTTTTTGGTGACATGATTTCTATTTCCTTTCGATTCTCATTAATCATATTTTTTTATGTGTGTTTATGCGGCTGAAATGTCATTTGTCAATTGTATGTCACACAGAAAAGTTTCTGGTATTGTATTTTCAGATTATGATTGTTTTCCTATTTCGATATGTCTTATTGAGGATATTGGATTTGTTTTGTTCAGATTCCAGACTAGCTATAGCTGATTTCGGATTAGCAATAACTCATGTTTATTTTGTGTAGGCCTGGTAATCTTCTCTGGTTAAATCTCTCGATCCCCTTACTTCATTTGATCTTTTCTTCTAAATTTTATGTCAACAATCAATTTTGTTTTGATTTCTTGCAGATTCAGGTAAGCTTCCATTTGTTTTTTCCTCATTGAATTTACTTGTGAATTATCTTCTTGTATTGGATTTTTATTTCAATAGTCCAAATGAATTTCAAAGTTATTGAATCTCATATTGATAGAGCATGTAGGTTCTGCTTAATTGCTTTTGTGGATTGATATTGGTTCCAACTATTTGTTGGAGAGGATCGTATCTTTATATTATCTATGTACATGTAAGATTAATTTTTTCTTTGTTTATTCAAATTTACTTTTTTTGTAGATCTCTTACTCATAATGGGTTGATAGGTTTCAAGATGGATGTTGGAAGGATGCAAATGCAGGCTTTACTTGGCTTTAATACCCTGAAGAAAATTGGGTTGATGAGGCAAATGTTGGTAGTATTTGTTGTGCTTTTAACTGATTAATAGCCTATTTGAGAAGTTTTTGCTGCAGCTTTTTCTTTTTGTGGTAACTTATAGTCTCTCCAGATGTTTCAGGGCTGTTAACTCACTAATACTTGGTAGTTCTCTATTTTGGTGCATCTAAACATATTTACCTTGATTTCTAGCTCAATACCAATGAGACAAAGGTCTGTCACATTTTTATTAGCAGCTATGACCGGTTATTGCAGGGTTTTTGTGAGCTCGAGACTTAGTTAAATGTACGGAGACCTCCAGACATGCATCTTCCCTTCTCTCGCATGCCTACCTCTCACATACTTGGATTTTATAGCATCTTTCATTCACTCCACCAGCAGGTAAATGGTATTCACCAACTGCATTGGTTTTCATCAATACTTTCTCTTTTTAAGCAATTTTGAAATCTGATTTGTACATTACAACCCAGAAATAAGATTTCATTCAATATGATCATGAATCTTTCCACAGTGAGGGAGGGCATGGAAAGGTGGTTACAAATAAACAATATGACCATGCTACTACTCACCTTACACACAATATTATATCTTACAAAAAACAGTTTTTCAGGGGTAAATGTCACTTGTCTTTATATCCCTTACTGCTATGTTTCTGGTACGCAGGTCGTGAACATACATTGTCGCTAGCAAGACAGTGCTCCAAACTACTCAACCTTGAACTACTTACTTAATTGATGTTAGTAGATCAGTTTTGTTTTACTGTAAAAAAGACTACTTAGAATTAATGAAATATCTTTTCAAGTAATTTTTAATTCCTTATAACTAATACTTGTACTACTTAAACATTTGCTACTTGACATACGTATATATAACCTAATCAACTAAGTTTAAGATTTACTTTAGCTATTGTTATAACAAGTACGTATAAAACCTAATCAAAGGGTTTTAAAGTTTGTTATTTTTATTCTGTTTGATTTTAGATTTTGGAAATGGAAAGGTGTTTAGTAGCTATGTTTTTCTAACTGTTTTTATTTTCTAAATCTTTTCTAAAAGGTGTTTTTGACTGAAATCATATTAAATTCTTTTATAGTAAAATAAATTTGATTACAGTTCCAAAATTAGAGGCTAAAGACATAGTATTAAAACTTAGATATGAAATGAATCCTGATTCCAGACATTTGAATCATAATTGATTTTAAGTAGGGGACTTCTTTCAAATCACGTAGTAAAATTAAGTGATAAGTACTTATAATCCAGGTACTATTAAGCAGATGAGTTCTTTTAAATCACTTAGTAAAATTTGAAAAGAAAGAAGTCACCTGGTACTATTAGAGACATCAAACATACTTAACATCTATACATCTATCTCAATTTAGATACACCTAAGTGCAGGACTGCTTTAAATCTGGCCAATTTCACTCAATGAGAAATTTTTCCTACTCTTAGTGAAATGTTTTTTTCTGAATTGGAGTTATGCTTGCTTACTGCTGTTATGCTCTTTGAACTTTGTAAGTTTACTAATGTTTTGTTTGTTGCATAGTAGAGACATAAGAAACTGTAGTGATTGGTCTTTTCAACATGTTTTTTTTGGTGCTCCTGGGGGTAGCAGAGGCTCTGCAGAATTTGAAACTCTGACTCTTGGGTCTCTGCCACCAACTCTGCAAGGTTTGCTGAATGATTAATCCTTTTCTAAATTGATTTTCTTCTAAGTGAAGTCTGTAAATAAAAATGAACAAGAAATCTTACTGTATTTAATTATTAAAGTCCTCGGTACATATCGAATGATGATATCCTATTTCTATTACCACAGTACATTTTTATTTTTCCAGTGGCATATGTTTATTACATAGGAAGTTTAGGCATTCAGTTTTCTCTTGTATTATAAGTTTACTTCAATCTCTAAATACTTATGGTTCCCTTCCTTTCCAGGTATGAAGGTTTATCTTAATGATGAAAAAGAGTTAATCTTGGAGCCATCATTCAAATGGGCAGGGAATCCTAATATTACTTTGTTTTTTAAGCATTTGGATTAAAAGCAACTGCCAGATTTTGCAATCGTCATGAATACGAGTGCTTGATTTTTTGCTAAGTCTTGATAAACAAATAACCGATTGCTGGATTTTTCAGCTTGTAGAGTTTTAGATCTTCACAGCACCATGCATTACCCTGAAACCTTTGGTCTCAAGCTTTCCATGTTTCTGCAAAAAAAAATTGAGTCACTTATGGATAAGGTAATCCTGAGTCCCGACTGACACTTTGTGCTGCTTGTCATGCCAGTATTCTCCTAGACAATAGAAGCTTATGTTCATATTGGTGGTAGCTATTCAGAGTTAAACAAATCAGAATAAAAACACCACTACATATGTATCCCAATCTATTTACAGGTAGCCGGCCTACAGGGTAAGTAAATAGATCTTGCAATAACTTCTTCTTAAGAAGATATATTTGTTAATTGCATTTATAGAAAACTAATATTTTCCTTGCACACTACATATTCCAAATAATCCTGGATCGATCAATCAACAATTTAGACTTTCATCTCATGATATTCCTTATGGCAGCATCCATTTTTGGGAAAAACTATTATGCTTATATGCCTATATGGTACCGTGTGTATTTTTAACATTGGGTGCTCAATTTGCTAGGCCCTCCATGTCTCATTTATGCGCTTCTTATGTACTTGCCTGAAGCAACTGATGTTGCTAATGCTGTCTTGGATGGTAGGTCTTTCAACATCTTGAATAATCTTTAAAATACAGTATATTTTTCAAGTTTATGCATCTTAGAGCTCCTCCACTTTCCTCTCACCTTCCCCCGTATTTCACCCATTCAAACACACACAAGTGCTTCACTTTCATCTACTCCCCTACCAAACCATTCAACCAAACAAGAGCTAAAACAGAAGCTTCTCAATGCTTTTGGCGCACAAATGCTGAAGCTTCTGATAATGATCTACCTATAGCGACATTTTTCTTTGAGATGTAAGTATAATCTCGTTATATAAAACTTCAATTTGTATATTGATCAAAAATTTATATTTCTTCAAGAATTGTGTCATTTTATTTGTTCACAAACTTTGCATGACAGATCTGAAGCATGGGTAAGCAGCCTATTTTGATGAGGACGTCAATTGGTTATTTGCCTTTCATATTTTATTTGTTCACAAACTTTGCATGACAGATCTGAAACATGTGTTCTTGTACATTGTATGAGAGGAATAAACACGTGTGAATGCTTGTTTCATTATACCTCTCTCAGTTGAGGGATATGGGCATGATGTTGGTTTCAGAGTCCATTTTAAATATTAATGAAATTGAATTTGTTGATTAGTAAATGGTATTGTTAAATGCACCAAACTTTTACAAATAAATCATAGTTAAATGTTTGATTCAAGCTTTAAAAGTTATCTCGACTTTCAGGTCCCCTAATTACTTTAAGACAATAGAAACTGAAGGTTGGAAACTTGCACTAAGCTATCAACGGGTGAAAGATCGTATGCAAGAGATTGAACTAACTTGAGGTGAAACTTATAATTTTTGTCTATTTCATGTTTCCCGTGTAATCCTTGAGATTGAACTAACTTGATGTTTCCCTTTGCAATCCTTCTTTTGCCAATTGTAGTGTGCGAGGATTGTTTTGCTTCACGTGGACAAACTGTTGGGATTGTGTTTACAGTGGGCGTGTATAGGGTCACGGCATTTCAGTTTGTGTTATAGATCCTACAAAGGTGAATTAATTAATTCTAAAACAGTCCTTGCACCGGAAGAACTCTAGCTTTGTTTTTATATAGCTGAAGATATGAACATGCCTTCAATAAACTTGAACACACCATATTTTCTGATTCAAATACAGCATATACATCTTTGGGAACTGAAACTGATCATGCCCAACCACAAAGTACATCTCTGCAATGTATTTAAAGTTGTTTTCAGTAACTATTGGGCATTGACCTCACACGTTATGTTTTGCCCCCTATTGGGCATTACCCCGCACAACGTGCGGGCCAATGCTAGTATTAATATATATGTAAGAGGGAGTTAAGAAATAGGACTTCATATATGCTATATGACCTGGATGTTGTGGATCTATAAGATAGTAAAAATATATGGAGTACATGATAAGAAGTGGTGTTTATAAATTGAATTACACTTTTTAGTAATGATTTCTTTTATAGCGGCAAATATCAGTGGCGGATCCACTGCTGTTCAAAAGTGTTCAACTGAACACTTAGAATTTTCAAAACACAGTACCTTGTATTCATGGTGACTTCGTTTTGCATATTTTGGAAAAATACATGCCTATGCGTCGTTTTTAAATTAGACCTGTAGAAAAAACAATTGCTGACATACTAGTGGACGGCTTAGTGCGTACTAGAGTGCTATTGGTCTACTGCTCTTCGAGGGAATTTGGAAGATATACTATGCTACTTTCCTTATTAAATTACATGTCTATAAAATTCAATTATCAATTTAGTTGAAAAATCTTTCAACTGGTGTAGTAATTAAATGAAAATTTACTACTTTAGTATTGGTAGGTTTTATTGAAATAGATAAGTGTATAATTTGTTGGCTATTTAACACTATCGTAGTTTTTTATTGTAATAATGACAAAGTGTATAATTCTTGCATTAATTAATACTCCATAGTATCATTTGAAATTGTAATTTTTGTGTGATTCCGAACACCCAAAATATAATTGCTAGATCCGCCACTGGCGGCAATGTCAATCAAATGCAGAATGCCGGGTTGGTTATCTGTTGTTGTTCCTTTATAACTAGCTTTGATCTTTTCTAAGAAATGCATTAGAAGATTCTTAGGTATGAGAAAAGCCCCCGTATTAATTTGGGATTGATTTGATTTATGAAGAATTCAATTTCTAGTTTCCATGTAACTTCCTCCATGTGCAAGAATGACAAGGGACCACCTTCCTCACACCTCCATTGAAGCTTCCTCCTAGATTCAACACACCTTCCTTCCACCTTCATACTACCTTGATTTAATACTATAAATAGAGAGCTTGTAGAGTCTTTCTATCAACAAGTAAATTAGAATAGATCATCATAGCACAACCAAGAAGAGTTGTGAATATCCTTGAGAGATATGTGAGGTTTTGTTTTGAGAGTTTTTAGTTAGAGCTTGTATGTCTCTTCTTTCTATTCTTGAAAGTAATAGAAGTGTTTTTCTCTCATATTAGCACGATCCCGTTATTCCTAACAAGTGGTATCAGAGCTTGGTTGAGCTTTTGATAATTTTCCCAGATTTTGTCAGACAAAATTCTACTGTCTGAAAAATCGAGTTTTTCAGTATTGCTCGGAATTGCAATCTTAATATACCGTTGGATTTGTCTCATCGTGACGAGAAAACTGGTATGTTTGGGGAATTTTTTGGCCACCAGAAGCTGCCGTACGCGCCGCCAAACGCCGGCGAAAAACTGCCCGCGTCATCACGCGCAGTACGCGCAGTCCAGAGGTAGAAGACGGCTGACGTCATCGATGACGTCATCAGCCAGCCAGAGCTGCATCAGCGACACGTCAGCGCCACGAGTGCAGTCCCAGTACAGTCAGCTGCCACGTCACTAGTCCACTGCCATCTTCCACCAGCGCTCAGTCAGCTGCCACGTCAGCGCTCAGTCAGCGCCACATCACTACCACGTCACCTGCCACGTCACCAGTCAGTTTTTAAATTTTGAAAAATTGCAGTTTGGTCCCTCAATTTTTGAAAAATTATAATTTCGGCCTATAATTTTTTGAAAATTGTATTTTTACCCCGAAAGTGCCTACCCACCATTTTCGGTCGTTCCGGACGCAACAGTGCTGCCCGTTTTTCGAAATTCTTCTCCGATATTTCTCAAACAGAAAATCAAAATTATTTAGAAGGTGAAAATGACCTTTGACGAGTCAACTTCATCTTTCGGAGCTATGATTATGCTCACGGATACCAACTACACGCTCTGGAAACCTCGGATGGAAGATTTCCTTAGCTGTAAAGACCTTTTTGATCCAATAGAGATGAAAGGTATTAATCCTGACCCGGCCAAGTCAACGGAGTGGAAGAAAATTAATAGAAAAACTATTGTTCAAATCCGACAATGGATTGACCATAGTGTCTTCCACCATGTTGCACAAGAAACCGATGCTTTAAACAGTCCGGTAGTACCCCCGCGAGTCTTTTCTTCCTCCCGTAGCGCTCAACTCACTCTTAAATTCTTTCTCCCTCTTGTTTTATCGTCGGCCAAGGGTTTTAATTAAGATGGTTTATGGCACTGGTTTTTGGATGGACCGAGGTGTTCACCTGTTCATTGTTCAAGTTTCATATTGGTATGGATGGATGAGCTGATTTAAGTGGAAGGGCAAAATAGAATTTCTTATTATTTTGGGGCTGTAAATAGTGATTTGGGGCTGCAAATAGAATACCCTTAATCGAATGTTATTGTGTATTTGATTGATCCAAATTATTATTTCATCATTTATTTACATTTAAATTATTTTTAATATTTTCTAATTAAACAAATATCATGGGTACTGGGTACCACACAATTTGCCTTTGAATTATTGATTGTCACTTTTCAAAGTGGGTGTGAACATAATTGAATTCACCTTAGTGAGACTAAATAGAGGTGTATTGGTCCAGCCCACTCCCCATCCCAAGTAAGCCCATGTGATATGTCTATTCGTTTGGTTGTTCCTTTTCTTCTTCCTTCAACACCATCGGCATGATTTGCAGTTGAGAACACTCTTCAATGGTGGTTGAACATGGAAATTTCAACCTATTGCAAACGAATTGAAGATGGAAATTCCAATTAATACAATTCCAACCTCCTGGAAGCAACTCTTTGATATGCAACCGTGGGTGAAGATACTTAGGTATACAAATAGACAAACTCGCATTTACACTTCATTCATAGAATAATGAATACTCCGTATTTAAATATATGTTGTATCCAGTTTCAGATCGTTGTAATTATCGGTGTCTTTTCGGATTAAAGTGTGATCAAACTTTGATTCCATTTGCTACTGATGGAAAGATATAAAGTTCTATTACCAGTAATGGAAAGAATATCGACCTTAAGAAATGACAGAACTCCCTGCAAAATCGAAGAGGTAATTATAAATCTACGAAAAGCTCGTAATAATTATGAGAGTATATTGTGCAAGCTGAGAATCTTGTTCTTTCTATGAGACCATATATACACTAATAATTTAATATAAATAAACTTATTATTTTATTCCCTTAATCTCAGGGTCTGTACTTAGGATCTTTTGGAGCTGCTGGAAACAAGAGCGAATTGAAAAGCTTGAATATCACACATATATTGACGGTTTCAAATTCACTATCCTCTCTATATCCAAATGATTTTGCGTATAAGACCATTAGCGGTATTACATTTTCTCTTTAATCCGTTTCTTTTTCTAAAGAGATATTACCCGAAATAGGACTAAAAAGGTTTGAAAATTCCAAAATAGGATTGTCATGATTTTATTCCCAAAATAGGACTAATTACTGTCATGTTTTGTCAGTACCAGACTTCAAACATGGCAGTATTTTCCAAACTTGACAGTAATTACTCCTATTTTGGGAATAAAAAACATGTCAGTCCTATTTTGGAATTATCAAACTGTTTTAGTCCTATTTCGGGAACTTTCCCTTTTCTAAACCAGCAATTCCCATTCTCTTATCTGGAAAACAATGGTCATTAAGACTGAGAAAAAATCACAATAGATAAGCTCTCTTAAAGTATAGAAATAGTAATCTACTTTTAGTATTATTATAGTTTCTCTTTTCCGTGTAGGTTTAAGGTTTAGATTTCCTATTCCTACAAGGGTTGAGGTTCATTATTCCTCCGTATAAGCATTGGAATAGTCTCTAAAATTATGAAGATGCAAGTTAAAAGACATACCAATACAAATTGCAGTTTCTTATTTAACTCGCTCCTTTAATTTGTTAACATATATTAAAATGTATAACAGTATCAGATAAAGGAGATGTTGACATAGCACAATATTTTGAGGAGTGTTTTGAATTCATTGAAGAAGGGAAGGGGAGTGGCGGTGTATTGGTTCATTGCTTTTTGGGAAGGTCCCGAAGGTAATCTTTCTCAGACTTATACATCTTATATTTCAAGCCTTATTAGCTTGACCTTTTAGAAGTGAACTTTAAATTTTAGTAAAATTTCATTATCAAGTTATGTAACTGAGATAATACCATTGTTTTTGACAGTGTAACTATAGTGTTGGCTTATCTGATGAAAAAGCATGGTATGAGCTTAGCACTAGCTTTGGAACATGTGAGAAAGGGAAGGAAAGAAGCATGGCCTAACTCTGGTTTTATGGCACAGCTGAAGGACTTGGAGAAAACTCTTCGAGGTGACATATGATTTTTCAGAATATATTATATAATTCTTACTTGAGTGTGTAACTACCTTTGCATTATGAATGTGGATAAAAAAGTACATTATACCTTCATCCACATCATTTGCATGGAGATGAGGGTACGAGTTTACGACACTGTTACACAAAGTAGTTGAAAAACCAAAGTTTTGGAGTGTGAATACTGAATATTTAACATGCCATTCATATCATTAACTTACTGAAAGAATTCATTACTGATATTTGTCATGTCACTTGCATGATGATACATAGGGACTTCAAATCTACAAGGCTGAAAGAATTCATTAACTGTAGTAATCACTAATCACAGGACCAGGTAATATATTCTAAACTGTTCCTTTTATCACTTGCATGTGAGAACCTTTCTTTCATCATTTTTACTTGAAAATGATTCGGAAAATTTGAAAGTCCCATATTTATGTATATTAAATTAAAAATACTCTTTATTTTTCTTCTTTCTTTTCTCTTCTCCATGTAAGCATTGTAGATTGATATACCAGTCTTAATCTGAAGGAACATTCTTTCATGAACTCAAATTTCTCCAAACAAAACCTTAATGGATTATTATATTTTCATTTTATTGCCAAAGCACATGTCAACTATCTAGAGCACGAGAGTTTCATCAGCCCATTTCATCACTCAATTCTACATGCTCAAGGGGGGTCTATGTTTTGTATATTTTGTTTCGCTATTACGTACAAAGTAGAATCCAACATTTAGAGGGTGTTTGCATTGACTCCAGATTTTTATAATCTGAACCAGAAATCTTATTTTTGGTTGTATGTGAATAAAATTTAGAATAACTTATAATTGTTTGTGTAAATTGATTTTTTAAGATGCTTCTATGTAGGGCTAGTTAAGGGGATCTTAGAACTGGAGCATATAGACGAAGACCCGGTGATAACCCGGGACGTGTAGTATTGGGCATAGCCCATACAGTACTGTATGGTGTAGGAGTTGATATTATGATGTAAAGTTGGAAGTCTAGCATTATAATGTACTATATTGTATTTTGGATGATTTGTCCTTTGATGTGATTAATGATAATTGATCTGATTTCTTCTTCAAAAAAAAAATGTAGGGGATCTTATTAGTGTAGTTATATGTCTTTCTCCAGAATGTCTATTTAAACTTTTTCAAACCATGAGGGGTTCTTTCAGAAGAAAAAAAACATGGCGGATAATGTCGGTTTTAAAAAGGTACCAAAACATCGTCGAGACAGCAAAAAGTAGGTAGTGCTACAATAAATATTACGAGTACCAATACTCATAGTCACTTTTTTCCTTGTCCCATTTATGTGTCTTGTTTTATTTTATTGTTTCAAAATGATGTCCTATTTCCCTTTTTAGAAAGAATGAAATACGGAGTACTACTTTCATGATTCATTTCATTTTACTATCCAAATTCCAAATTTTAAGTATGGTATAACTTTTACTTTTCAATCATTTTGTTAATAATTGTGTCAAGTTAAAAGAAGACATATAAAATGGGATATACTCCCTCTCTCCCCTTTTAAATGTCTCATTTTACCATATTGGGATGTCTCTATTTAATTGTCACATACCTTATTTGGTAAAGTTTGTGTGACTCCAAATCATTCTTACTTTATTCTTACTTTATTCCTACTTTATCAATAAATATCAACCACACAAACTCATTTTAAAACTCGTGCTACCCTCTTCCGGGATATTTAAAAGGGGACGGAGGGAGTAGGTGGTAAGTACTTAGTAACATCAAGGATTCAAGACAAATATGAATATGATACTTTTTCTGCAGATTGCTTATCACATTTTTATTTCATGAATTATTAAGTGGTACTGTGTTGTTTATTTAGCATCAGGTTCCTGAGAAATGCTTATTATGAATTCTTATATAGACAATTTTCACCTGGAGAGCATTTTATGCGGAGGGCATTTGAAACTACGGTGTGGAGTTGTAGATAGTACTCAATCTTTTATCATATCCAAAATATAGCTTATATATGCCATTCTACCCAAATCATTGGATATGGACTGACAACACAAGAACTGAGCCATTGAGCATTACAAGACCATAATATTATTATGTCTGATATAAACAGTTTTTGGTCATAAGAATCTAACATAGGCCAATCACCAATGAAAACTCTACAATTATACCTAAAATATACGGAGTACTATAATGAACACTGTAACATGTTCACTACACGACAGGTTGGCGTCAATAGTTTTTTTATCATAAAAGAGTGGTCGTTATGTTAAAATCAAGAACACGTAATCGACAATCTTCAGACACAAATTACAGATCTAATTGTGAAACCTGTGAGTAGACTTAGAGTCAATCATCTCATACAAAACAACATGACTCGCTAAACTTGAAATGAGCATATTTAGGTCTAAAATGATCGGAACCAAAACCCTGCCTATAAAAAGAACTCCAAATATCCAAACATTCAAACCAAATCTACTTGGACTAAAACAGAAACAAGTGCTACTAAAGAGAATATAATACTGAAATAAAACCGTTTCACAAAGCTCTTTTTGGTATGGAGGTGGTTCCGGAGGAGGACGAGATCTAACAATATGGATGAATACAAACTCTGCTACCGTCTGAATGGCTGACCAAGGCTTCACGATCCCGCCTCGATACAACCTCCAAGTCGCACCTCGTTCATCCGCCAACACTATCTCCTCCGACGTAGGTATAATCCCAACCATTAGAACACTTAAAATCAGTATAATCTGCCGCTTTAACCCCATATTGATATGGGCGGCGGAAAATCCCAAACCCTACAAAGAGGGGAGACGGCCGCTAGGGTTTCTCTACGTCGACGTCAATATTGACATACATGATTCGTCCAAATAAAAATTAAGTAAACTTAATGAAGAATTTATCAGTTAAGCATTACTTAAAATAAAAGGCATAAGTTCATATACGAAATATATATATAGTGTAGGGGGTTAACTTATTGACATAAGTTAAACATTTATTTGGCATAAGTTCATATACAAAATATATATAGTGTGGGGGTTTACACAGTCGCAAAAACCAGAATAAAATTTGATATAAATTTGATATGTAAAGTAAGAGATTAAGAGTGATTTGTGTTGATCTAGTGAATAGAAAAAGTATCTTACAAAATGGGATTGAAGGAGTATATATTAAGTGCTCAGGTTGTCCATGTTTTAATAAAAGATTTTGCAGCTACCACGACACCTGCTTTTTTTAAGGGGAACTCCAGACTGAGTGACTCGAAATGCTGCCAAGATATCAGTTAGAAAAGTTTATTAATCATATATAGACTTTAGGAGAAAGGGCTTAGGGTCACCGGTGGGCGTAGCTCAACTGGTAGCGAGAGAGTGCCACAAGGGTTAGGTCTCGGGTTGAAATCCCGACAACTGCGATGAGAGGTTACTATGCTAAAAATGCATAGGACTTCTGCAAATACCGGGGACAGAGTCCCACTCTCTATCTGTCAGATTGTGATTATAGTACAATTTACATCCTCCCATCGTGTCATCCGGTCGATGTTGGGGGCCCTCAAGGATGTTGTGTCATCCTTTTTTGAGAAAGGACTTAGGATCAACCTAACCATCGAGATATATAGTGGGGCCTAAAAGATGGAACACCACAATGGATAAATTGGATGTAGTAATGCTTTGAATAGTGCAGTATTGAATACTGGTATTAATATCATTAAAGGAACGTTCTGTACTTCTGTTGTCATTTCTTGATATACATTCTCTATTTTAGGTAATAATTCTTTCAATATACTCCGTATTAGGAATTCAATGGGACACGCCCCTTTAACTCAATTGTAAAGTAACACCGTGATATTTTTCAACAAACGGAATGAAATTGCACAATCCAAATTAAATGCAATTTTTCTATATAAACTATTTTAGTTGTTTCCATATATTCCGTACAAATCTTGTTATTGTCATGATAGTAATTCTTTTTTTAGTGCTATTTTAAAGTATAAATCGAGAAGCACAATCCCATAAAAAGTAATGAGTTATGTAATACCGTAGATATTTATGCCCTCCTTTACTAATATGGGCGCTCGAAGTGAATGTTACGTATGGTGAAGTGCACCATATTTTTCTATATCACTCATTTAATTTACTGTTTGTTTATTATGATAAGGAGTGCTCTTATTATAACCACTGCAATATAACTACTACGTATATTATACAAAAAACTGTATTATTTGAAAGGACAAATAGTAATTTTAGTAACTAATATTACTATTAAAGCAAAAATAATACGTACTATGTATATTATACAAATAACTGTATTATTTGAAAGGACAAATAGTAATTTTAGTAACTAATATTACTATTAAAGCAAAAATAATACACCCCCGTATTTTTTTGTTTGCAACAATAAGTGTTGGCACATTTTTTAAGAGTGAAATAGTAGCAATAACGAATAGTGTAGAAAAAGTAGGAGAGATGATGGAAAAGTATGAATGAAAAGATAAAACGTAGAAAATGTAAGAGTAGAATTTTTTTAAAGAAAAACTTACCAAAAAAGGAAAATGTAGCAAATTTTTGAATACATTCAAAAAGAAAGTGTAGCAAACAAAAAATGGCGAGGGAGTATTTATTCCTAAGAACAGCTAGCTACGATAGTATATTATCGTATCACTGATATTAATGTGATAGTATTAGTACAATAAGGATAACAAAAATCAAGACCCTTGTTTATATCGTGGAGTGGCCGATTCAAGAGCGGGAATCAGACTTGTGGGCTATATATTCCTAATTCCCATTGACAATTAGTAGGTTTGTATCAAGACAAAGGCCTGTTAAATTAACATTTGGATTATTATAAAGCTAAACTGGACAAATTGTGAGAAGCACGAGTATTTATAAAATGCCGCATATACCATATAAATAAAAGAATCAAAAAACAAAGAATGAATAAATAACTATATGGTGTTCCCTTCCCTTTGAGATTTTTCCGGGTATCCGTATAACTTCCAAAATTGTCAATCAGATATGCCTCTGATCATTCTCTGAACAAGTGACTCCTTATTAAAGAAGTTCCACTGCAAATGTGCAGCATTTTATTCACTAGCTTGCTTTGCGCCAACCACAAAGAACTCCGTGATCACTTCAAGCGGCATTCCCTTTGTTTCTGGAACTTTCAAGTAAACAAAAACCCACGCAATCGCACACACAATAGTATAGATGCCAAAGACTCCACGGAGACCGACGGAAGAGAGCATTAAAGGGAGGGAGTAAGTGACAATTATATCTCCAATCCAAAATGTAAGAGCACATATAGCAATGCATTGGCCACGGACACGTGTGGGAAATATCTCGGCGCAAAGGATGTTGGGGATTGGGCCAAAGCCCATGACGAAACAGCACAGGTAGATCACAACACTAATCGTGGATATGACCGCATTGATTACTTGAGACATATGGATTATATTCCCCAGGACTAGAGTGACAAGTGAAGTTAGCAGGACTGGCAATGTATAGAGTAAAAGCCACCTGCAATATAAAATACATAATAATTTAGTAAAGTATTAGTCATTTAAAGCAAATATTTAATCGAGAACATATTTGGTCAAATAAAATAGAAACATTACCTCCTGCCTGCTATATCCATCAGTCTCATCGCAATACCTATTGCGGGAAGCATCAACAAAGTTGTGGCAGCACTTATGAGGATAGATGCTGAGTCTGATCCCAGCCCTAACTTTGAAAGCAGAAGTCCTACTCCAGCTTGTTTAAGTATTTGAGGAGTATAGTAGAGAACTCCATTAATCCCAGAAAACTGGCATTGAAAAGAATAAAATTTAGTTATACATATAACCATGTTTCATATAAATATATATGGATTTTGATTCCAATAAAAAATCATTTCCATGAAACATGATATCCCATTTAGCCATTCATTCATACTAATGGAGGGATGAGGTAAATTTTTTAAAACCACAAACATGGTGGCACAATTGTCAATGTGTAAAACTTTTAATAAAAATGTGAAAACAAAATGTGCATGTTTGTATGCAAAAAATGCACTTTTACATTACAAAAGTGCACCCATGTCTGCTGAAAAAGTGCAATTCTAGTTTCATAACTGCACTCTCTTATAACACTTTG